TAGGACGTGCTGCTACTCCAGCGGCAAGAGAAAAACACAATTTTCCTGACATTTGTATATGGGATGCAGAGTGGATCTTGCCATCCTCAAGCAGACACCCTGAACGAGGAAGGACGCCTCAACCCTGTGTTGGAAGATAATCAAGAGCCTTGGTAGTACAGTGGTCTAAAGCACCCTGTTATTAAGACCAGCTGCCTGCAATTACTGCAGGTTCGAATCTCACCAGGCTCAAGGTTGACTCAGCCTTCCATCCTTTCTAAGGTAGGTAAATTGAGGACCCAGTTGTGGGGGCAATAAGCTGACTTTGTATAAATATACAAAAGGATGAAGGCTATTGCTTAGCACATTGTAAGCTGCCCTGAGTCTCGGAGAAGGGCGGCATATAAATCAAATTTTAAAAAAAAAGAGTTCTTGATGGATTATTCCTTTAGGACCGTATAATGCTGCCTTTTGCCCATCACAGCAAACCTGCAGGTAGTCCTTGACTTACAACTGGTTGCTTAGCAGCTGTTTGAAGTTACGAAACACCTCCCAAAAACACTACTTACGATCCTGATTTGAAGTTCCAATAGCCAGCTCCTCCTGTGGTCATGCGATCAGATTTTGGGCACTTGGCAATCAGCTTGTATTTGCGACTGATTATAGCATCCCAAAGTCACATGACTGTGATTTACAATGTTTTTTTGCTGGACATAGGCATTTATGTTCGGTTTCCAAAAAAAAAAAAATCACCCATTGGCTAAAATGGGTTCACTTAACAATTGCTGCCAAAAAAAAAAGATTGTAAAATCGGACATAGTCACGGGATAACCCAACATCACTTACAACTGTAATTCCAGGCTCAAGAATGAGTCTTTACATTGGGACGTGTTTTAGTCAAAACAGCTGCATGGAACAGATGGCCCTAGACCAGTTCTCCTCTTGCACCACTTGAAAAATCACCTTCCTCCTCTTTCAGTTGTTATTGGTCTCAGTATGAAATCAGAGCTATCACTCTATCTCTGGGCATGTTTGATTGGTATATGTGGAAAAAGGAATCTGACCTGGGTCACCTATTCGAACTGTATTTGCACAGCTGATAGAATGACCTCCTTGTACTAGTAGGGCCCAATCAGTGATGATTTAGCTTGAAAAAGGAATGAGTAATGCCCTCTTCGTAGCTGCCACAAAAGAGGCTGGAGGGTTCTTGATAATGAACAATAATATCACGGTGGCATGATATGAGTTGACATGAAGATGGGATGGTCTTCTTGGATGGAAGCACCCCTCAACTAAGGCAGAGGTGGGGATCCATGGCCCCTTTATGATTTGTGGACTTTAACTGGGTGGCTCAGGAATTGTGGGAGTTAAAGTCCACAGGTCATAAAGGGGCCATAGTCCCCCACCCACATCCCTGTCCCCCGAACTAAGGGAAGGCAACTCATCCATCTCCTCTCAGATAAGGATGCTTATTAAAGAATCCAATGTTGGAGATAGAACTTGTTTTGATCTCTTATGAGCACCGGAGGATGCAAGACTTTTTTCTCTGCTGTGAAGCTGCAGTGGTGAAATTCAAATTTTTTTACTACCGGTTCTGTGGGTGTGGCTTGATGGGTGTGTTGTGGCTTGGTGGACGTGGCTTGATGGACGTGGCAGGGGAAGGATACTGCAAAATCCCCATTCTCTCCCCACTCCTGGGGGAAGGATATTGCAAAATCTCCATTCCCACCCCACTCTGGGGCCAGCCAGAGGTGGTATTTGCCAGTTCTCTGAATTACTCAAAATTTCCGCTACCGGTTCTCCAGAACCTGTCAGAACCTGCTGGATTTTACCCCTGTGTGATTTGCTTCCTTGTCAGAAATGTTCTGCCTGCAGATGGTCTCCATCTATATACCATCACCCACATCTCTGTAAATAAAGAAAATATTATGGGTGGATGAAATGGAAACTAATCAAGGAAAGAAGCAACTTAGAACTAAGGAGAAATTTCCTGACAGTTAGAACAATTAATCAGTGGAACAACTTGCCTCCAGAAGTTGTGAATGCTCCAACACTGAATGTTTTTAAGATGTTGGATAACCATTTGTCTGAAGTGGTGTAGGGTTTCCTGCCTAAGCAGGGGGTTGGACTAGAAAACCTCCAAGGTCCCTTCCAACTCTGTTATTCTATTCTATTCTAAATATGTAAATAGGTAAGTAAGTAAATAACTACAGTTCTATTTCAACTCTCAGATCCCTGTGTTATTAACTGCTCCATATTTTTCTGTGGATAACTTATCCAGCTTTCCCCTTTCTCCAAATAAGCTCTTGTGAAGTCATTTCAAAGAGGAACCCCTTCACTGGCAGCGTATAAGCTCTTTAATACATTTTTTTAAAAAGTCCAAAACAAAAATGGGGAGGTTAAGAAATACCAGCCTTCAGAAAGAACCATAGTGCTGGCTAGTAAGAATCTCTGGTGTGGAGTATTTGCACATGAACAATTAAATCAAGAATTTTCCAAGGTGATCCCCAGAAGGAGACTGAACTGTAGGCAGCTATAGCTTCATTCATTCTCCCATCAGTGGGGGCTGAGGCCAGCGGAGAGATAAGGCCACCCCCCCCCCCACACACAATCAGGCATTTCAAGAAAAGAGCCTGATGTGCCAGCAACCACACAGGAAGCACTGAAATGTGATTGATGGAACACCCAAGAGAAAAAACGGGCATCATAGCAGGAGTCCTTGAAATAGCTACAACCAGATGAAACAGCAAATTCCCACACTCCAAAGATACTAAAAACGGAAGTTGGGACAGAAGGTACTTTTCCTAGTCCTGTTGACAATGTGGTGGCATTCACTGCTCTTCAAGGTCAGTTGAAGAGAGTCGCACGTGCCTCTCTTCCAGCCACTTCTCCAGCTGTTGGCCGAGAAGAACTATGGTACATAGAAGCAGCTGGCTTGCCATATCCAGATCTTCTGAACCTCACTTCTAATCCTTAAAATGGGCATAATTGAGGGGCAGATCAAAAAGAGATCCTGGGTCAGATTTTTGAAACTTTTTAAAAATCTATAAATTTACAGATTTGTTCCTCGTGTGTCCAATCACACTTGGCCAATAAAGAATTATATTCTATTCTATTTGGGGAGAGATGCACTCAGCACACAGCCTGGAGTTCGATCCCGACTGGCTCAAGGTTGACTCAGCCTTCCATTCTTCCGAGGTCGGTAAAACGAGGACTCAGATTGTTGGGAGCAATACGCTGACACTGTAAACCGCTCAGAGAGTGCTGTAAGGCACTATAGAGCAGTATGTAAGTCTTATTGCTATTCAGGTATCCTATATAATTTGCCACTGGAGTTTTATTTGTCATTTTCAGGGCTTCAGGAACAGAGCTGGGATCTTGGCCAATTGCACCCCAGTTTTGGCTCATGATTTCCTACAACACCCAGATCCTTTTCACACATTCCACTCCCAAGCCCTCCTGGGTTAGTCACTTTCATTTTTTTTTCCTCCTGGGATGCACAACTTCATGTTTCTTCCTGTTACATTTGTTTGTTTCAGCTCAATGTTGAAGCCAATCTTGAACATCTTCTGAAATCTTCTTTTCGAAAATGTGATCCACTCCTTCTAGCTTTCTGTCATCTCAAAATTTAATAGTCACTTTTGGAGTCCCACAATCCTTCTTTATCCCTAAATCCCAGCCTGAAACCCAAGCATTGTGAGCGGGATAATGAATTCAGGAGCTTTGGCATGGGTTAACACGTTGGTTTGTGTTTTCGCTGAACCTTGATGCATTTTTCGATGCTTTTTTTTTTTTTTAGGACACAATGGCAAACCACTTCTGAAAAATATTGCCAAGAAAACTACAGGGACATGTCCAGGCAATCTCCAAGAATTGGTCATGACTGAACAGAAGAAAAAAAAATAACAGAGAGCCAATTGGGCGTAGTGCTTAAGGCAGCAGGCTAGAAACTGGAAGGTTTTGAGTTCTAATCCTGACAGATGAGTGATCATGAGCTTGTCCCTCTCTTTCAGCCCTGGGAAGGAAACAATGGCAAACTACTTCTGAACAACCTTGCCATTAAAAACTGCAGGGAATAATTCAGGCTGTCACCAGGCATCAAAAATTAACTTGAAGGCACACATCAGTGGTGGGTTCCTACCAATTCGCCACGGATTGGGTGAACCAGTAGCGGCGGGAAGCTCCGCCCACCCGCCTGGATGCTTCTCTGCATCTGCAGAAATGTTGCACACGCATGTAAGTGTGCACATGCACGCAAGCTAACCGATAGCAAACTAAATTGAAACCCACTACTGGCACACATGTACATATAGTAATAGCACTTATACTTATATACCCCTTCACAGTGCTTTACAGCCCTCTCTTAACTGTTTACAGAGTCAGCCTATTGCCCCCAACAATCTGGGCCCTCATTTTACCCACCTTAGAAGGATGGAAGTCTGAGTCTACCTTGAGCTGCTCAGGATCAAACGCCTGGCAGTGGATGAATAACTAAATATCTTGTACCTCATTAAAGGTTTTCAGGATCTTCTGCTGATTTACAGCTTGACTTCTTGGTCATAGCAAGAGTGTTGCTGCCATACAGGTCTATCAAAAAGAGGTGGTTTTCAAAATCTGGGAGTAGGCTGGTGGTAGGTCTCAGTTCTGAAGAGCATGAAGCAGTGGTGGGTTCCTCCTGGTTCGGCCCGGTTCTCCCGAGCCAGTAGCGGTGACGATATGACATCACCGAACCGGTTCTGACACCCCCCGCCCCTCTGCACCCCCCACCCCCCGTGCCGCCCCCACCCCCGCGTTATTCTTACCTTTTATTTGGCCCCATCCCCAAACTATTGCTGCCTCCTGAGTACCAGCTGATGGCTAGAGGGAAAAAACTGTTTAAACTCTTGCCGCGGGGCTTCAAAGGGCCGCCCTACAGCTGATCAGTGTTAAAAGAAAACGAATGAGTAGACCAATGCCTGCAAAAATACATGAGTAGATCAGTGCCTGCAAAACTAAATGGGTAGACCAGTGCCTGCAAAAATACATGAGTAGATCAGTGCCTGCAAAAATATGTGAGTAAATCAGTGCCTGCAAAAATAAATGGGTAGACCAGTGCCTGCAAAAAATAAATGGGTAGATCGGTACAGCTCTGCAAGCAGTTAAAAGCCTGGTAGACCAGTACCTCTGCTAAATCCTAAATAATTGTCACATGACCATTAAGCCATGCCCACAAAATAAGCCATGCCCACAGAACCGGTAGTAAACATTTTTAGAACCCACCCCTGGCATGAAGGTCTCAGTTCTGAAGAGCATGAACACTGCTGTGGCAAAGATCTGGTTGTGGATCACTATTCAGACTCCTAAACCTGGACTGTGAAAATCCAGAGGATGATAGTCATAAGCGAGTGTTTTCTTATCTTTGCTGGGGTCATCTAGATTTTGTCAGCCCAGACTCGATAGCACTAACTCATATGCCAGTTGAAACTTCTGTGTCAGAGATTTCTGCTGGACCAAGGCACGTATAACTCCCTCCATCAGTGTGTAACTCTGGCCAAAACACCTGTATGCGTGGATCAGGAAAGCCAGTGCTCCTTGGAGAACGGCAGGGAATCACCTTTCCCTCCTGTCAGGCACCAGGCCATTCCCGGAAATGGGGAGAGTCTCTACCTAGTTGCGTTACTTTGGCTCGGCTGCCAAGGAGGGCTGGTCCCTCCCTCCCTTCCTCCAGTCCCCTGGCACTGCATGAAGGGAGGAGGAGCTGCTGAAAGAAGGAGCCCTTCTCCAGGAACAGGCAGCTCCGCAGAGCACTTTGCACCGCTTAAGGCAATAGCTCTGGCATGTGCAAACTGCAGAGGGGCCCCAACTGGGCCACCTTCCCCAAATTGGCATGAGGCCTAGAACCACAACCAGGTCTTCTTCTCAGGTAAGAGTTGGGCCTTTCCCTCTCCCTACCTCTCTCCTGCTCCTGGGGACACCTGGCCATGGCATGAGAGATCCTTTGGCTGGCCAGAATTTTTTTTTTTTTTTTTGTAGTGGAAATTTGTGGAGTGGATGATTGGATATGGAAGAGCTTCTTTGCAAACCATCTTGTGTCCTTTAGCTTGGAGGGGGAAAGGTGGGCAGTGTAGCCAACTCCTAAGGCTTTTGCCAGATCCATTTGGCTTCTTGGAGACTCTCAAAAAAAGTTCTACTTCTAATCCTTCTGGAATAACTGAGATACTCCTATCCTGCTTCCTCATCTACTAATGGGAGCTATCAGGCTTCATCTCTCGCTTGGTGTCCTGGCTCAACTCAAAGGCATAAAGAAAAGAGGATTGCTGTTCTGTAAGCAGTCAGTGCAAGAAAAAGATGCAACCTACTAAATTTATTTATCAATGTAAAAATTTAAATTAACAACACAGGATGGGGATTGGGAGACGACAGGCAGCACAGAGGTCAGTGTCCAACTCCGGTGTCCTAGCCAAAAGTATGTCTTCCATCCATACTTTTGAGATTGGAGAGATAAATATAATTTAATCCAGCAAAAGGAAGCAGAACAAAAGCTGCAGTTGCAAAAGGAAGGCTGGAGTAGTTCCCACTGAAGCTCAGATCTTGGAACTGAGCAGCTCAGGTGAAAATTAAATCTCTGGACCGGCTGCCAAGAGAGAAGACAGACATGCGTTCCAAACCTAAAATTCTTGCTCAAAACTTTTTAGGTTAAGAAACCCTGGCAAAAGATGATTAATCTAATGCTGTGTTATGGGGAATCACCGATACATTGTTATGAATGGGAATGCAACGAGATTACTATACAGTCGTTGCAGAAAGCTGCAGGAATTCCTTTTGCTATGCAAGAACAAAAAATGGTATTTGGCACCACATTCAGAAAGCTGTTGCAGCTTCCATTAGTAGTATTTTTAAAAGAACACCATGTCTCCAGCCCTCAGATAATAAAAGGTACATGGAAGGAGGTTTGCTGAGATTTCAGGATTGAGGAATAAACTGAAGGAAGAGCATCATTTAGATTTCCAGTGCATAGGAGAGGTTTTTTTTTTTTTTTGCTTTCATCTGTACCAAAATAAATAGGTGCAAAATTGGTGCAGAATTTTGTTCATATGGGTGCGGGTAGTCCTTGACTTACAACCACAACTGAGAGCAAAATTTCTGTCGTTATGCAAAGTGGGTGTTCTGAGTTGGGCCCAATTTTTTGACATTTTTGCCTTAGTGGTTAATCGCTGCGGTTGTTAAAAGAATCAGGCAGTCATTAAGTGAGTCTGGTTTCCCCCATTGACTTTGATTTCCGGAAGGCAGATGGGAAGGTCACAAATGATGATCAACATGACTCTGGGGCACTGCAACTGTTGTAAACACATGCTGGTGGCCAAGCACCCAAAGTTTAATCACATGATGGTGCGCATGCGACTGTCAGCTTTGGAAGCCATATTAGGCCGGAAGCTTCAATGCTGCAACCTTCTCATGTTTTTTTGTTTTTTTTTAAATTTGATTTATATGCCGCCCTTCTCCGGAGACTCAGGGCGGCTTACAATGTGCTCAGCAATAGCCTTCATCCTTTTTGTATATTTATACAAAGTCAGCTTATTGCCCCCACAACTGGGTCCTCAATTTACCTACCTTAGAAAGGATGGAAGGCTGAGTCAACCTTGAGCCTTGGTGAGATTCAAACCTGCAGTAATTGCAGGCAGCTGGTCTTAATAACCAGCTTAATAACAGGGTGCCTTAGACCACTGTACTACCAAGGCTCTTGTGTGGGAAAGTAGGAGGGGGGATTAAGGAGAGGGGTTGTTAGTAGACATAATATCATTTTTCTTGTCGGTCAAGGTCAGGGTGATCCTGCATCTGGAGAAGGAGTGGTCAGGGGGCTGGATCGAGATGGAGCGGATGTTGATTGGAGCATGTGACCGACTGGGGGGAAAAGGGGATGGTTTTGGGAGCTTTGACTTACTGAAGGAAAACCCGGGCTTTTCAGATTCGGGTTTTCCCAGATGTGCCAGTTTGCCTATTCTAGTAAAGAGAACTTTGGAAAAATGTTTGCTTCCGCGTCTTTACTTGGAGTTGGGGTTTCTCTGGAACGCTGACAGCGACATTGGTTGTAAGTATGAGGATTAGCTGTAAGTCACTTTTTTCAGTCCCGTTGTAACTCTGAACGGTCACAAAACGAACGGCTGCAAATTGAGAATTACCTGTACAGGTAGTCCTCGACTTCCAACAGTTCGTTTAGTGACTGCTCAAAGTTACAGCGGCATTGAAAAATGAGACACACGGCGAAAGAATCAGGTTAGGTGGACATGGAAAGAGATATTATTTTTAATATAGTAAGTATTAGAATTATAGATAAGTTGACATACTAGAATAGGATGGTCAGAAGCTATTGCACAACACTAGCACTGTTTGAAATAGTATATATGTTATTCTGGTTTTTTTGGTATATGTTATTCTGTTATTCTGGTTTTTTTAACTTTTGTTTTAGGGCATGGGTGGACAACTGTGGCCCTTTTACAACCTGTGGACTTCAACTCCCAGCCAAGCTGTCTCAGGAATTCTGGGAGTTGAAGTCCACAGGTCCACAGGTTGTAAAAAGGCCACAGTTACCCACTCCTGTTTTAGGGTAAGTGGAATGCCAGGACGGTTACACTGTATTCAGTATATTCATATGTAAACAATAAAAATATATCTGAAAAATGAGACACGTGGCCGTTTTTCAGAGTTACAACCTTTGCAGCATCTCCTGGTCATATGATCAGAATTCAGATGCTTGTCAACTGCCTCATATTTATGATCATTGCTGTGTCCCAAGGTCACGTAATCTCCTTTTGAGACCTTCTGACAAGCAAAATCTAATGGATGTGGGAAATGCCTATTGATCTATTAGAATCAATGAGGCCTAAGTGGAAAAAGCAGGCCCTAAAAAAGCTACCTGAAGGCAAGAAAGCAAACACTTAGGCTGAAGAAAAGTGAATGGTCCAAGGTCATCCAGTAAACTTCAGGTGGTCTCCTCTTTGACCTTTAAGGGATGCTCTTAAAACAGGGCAAGAATTCTTATAGAAATAGCTAGTTAATACTATTATGTAAAAGTGAAAAGTTGAGTTTGATGTTCCTATTTTATTCTACTGCACCAAAGGGAATCAGGAGTCAATGTCTTTTCTTTCTTTTTCCCTTCTTCTCTACACTTTTCCCTTTTCCCTCCCCTATTTTTTCTATTATTTGCTTTCGTATTTTTTATTATAAACTAATAAAAAAAATTAAAACAGGGCAAGAAGATGGCTTTGATAATAGGAGACTACAGTGATCAGTGATGCATTATGCAAATGTAGGCACGTTTTCTTAACCACACATAGCATTTGCTAATTTTGGGTTGACTCTGGACTCCTGTGCTTCCATCGTCTCTTTTCGGGAGCCGAGCTGATTTGCTTCCAGGTCAGCTGAGTGCAAAAAGGAACCACTCCAAATATTGCTTCCTAATAGAAAAAAGTTTCAAAGTCAGGTGCTTGTGGTGAGGAAAAGCAAGATCAAGCACAGTGGACAGTGAAAATGTTAGTGTTATGGAATGGACTATAATCGGAGTAGAATGCAAATGAAACTCTGATAAACCAAGATTTTAGGCCAGGCATAACTGAAATTAGAAACGTTGTCTCCTGATGCAAGATAAATTCCAGATTCTAAGTGAACTTATGAAAGGGGGAATGGAAACTGAGTCTGGCAGACCCCACATGTGGTCACCACAATATAAAAAAGATGTTGAGAGTCTAGAAAGAGTCCAGAGAAGAGCAAGAAAGATGATTAGTGGACTGGAGGCTAAAACATACGATGAACAGTTGCAGGAACTGGGCATGCTAGTCTAGTGAAGAGAAGGACCAGGGGAGACATGATAGCAGTGTTCCAATATTTGAGGGGCTGCCACAGAGAGTAAGGGGTCAAGCTATTTTCCAAAGCACCTGAAGGCCAGACAAGGAATAATGAACAAGGAGAGATTCAACCTGGAAATAAAGAGAACTTTTCTGACAGTGAGAACAATCAACCAATGGAACAGCTTGCTTTCAGAAGTTGGGGGAGCTTCATCACTGGAAGCTTTCAAGAAGAGACTGGACAGCCATCTGCCAGAAATGGTGTAGGGTCTCCTGCTTGAGCAGACTAGATGACCTACAAGGTCCCTTCCAACTCTGTAATTCTATGCATTTTGCTGCTTAATAAATTGTGAAAAAGTGTATTGAAGGAACAAAATAAATTCCTGAACTAAAATCTCCAAACTACCAAAGCTCCTGGACTCAAGTAAGCCTCGTTAATAGCATACTTAGGCATTTGCAGATGCTGGCTCACGAGTTACCTTAAATCAGCACTTGTACTTTTAAATGGGAATTAGGAAGTAACTAACCACAAAAAGTGGTTCATGCCAACCTCTGTTTTATTAACCGTTTCTTCTCACTATCAGAAGAAAATCTAACCCATGTTACCAAAAATAAGATGATTGACATTTAATGTCATTACTAGTCAGCATTTATTGTACAACTATATAAAGGTTATTTGTACCCTCCTTAGGTGGGCAGAACATTGTATTCTGTCCGCAGCAGTGTTCAGAAAAACGTAGCTTAAGAAGATAGTGTGGTCTTCACTCATAAACTGGACCACGGGTCTCCAACCTTGGCAACTTTAAGCCTGGAGGACTTCAACTCCCAGAATTCCCCAGCCAGCAAAGTAAAGCTGGCTAGGGAATTCTGGGAGTTGAAGTCCTCCAGGCTTAAAGTTGCCAAGGTTGGAGACCCCTGAAGTGGACCACAATTGCAAGCAGGGCTTCTCCAAATAAGTAGGGTAATGTTCTTCTTGACTGATTGATTGATTGATTGATTGATTGATTGATTGATTGATTATATGCTATCAAATCACTTTTTACCCCTAGCATTCACATACAAGAAATCCTTGCCCAACAAG